AACAGTTCCCCGCCAGACACGGTCCATACCTAAGACACAGACGCGCGTGAATGTTGATACCACGTTTCTGGAGTCATAGCTCACTGGCAAAGCTTCAGCATCTTGGCCTACCTGACTGCTAAGTTGAAATACTCAGACAGACATATGCACACACACAAACATATATATATGCGCGCACACACGCACCAATACACACAATTTGAGCGGCTTCTGGTGGCGTACATAAGTGGAAAATGCGACAGTTACTGCTCAAGACATGCTGCTCAGGACTGAAGGATTTGGCATAGCTACGCTGCGCGTGTTGTGACGTTACATAGGATCTCAGCATTAGTTGTCTAGCCAGCCGCAGAGTTCCCAGCGACTCTAAAGTTTTGTTTTATTAATCCATTATTATCATTGTTTCCTCTTTTATGCATTTTGCCCTGTGTAACAGCAGCACAAAACGCATTTTGTTATTGTTCCGCACTTTCAACTCGGAAACCACAAAAGCTAAGTGGCTGAAATTTTAATAAAGTGTCCCCCGTCGGCGTGTGATCCCGCAAATTTAAATTCAGCCTGCCCGCGGATAACACGTGTGGCCCCGTAAAAGTTTTGTCGGGGAAAATTATTATCTCGGAAATCATGAGAGCTAAGGAGCTGAAATTTTATGGATATATCCCCTGCTCACGTGCGACCCAGAAAATTTAAATTCAATTTCGTGCCGTCGGGTGACACATACGCCCCATGAAATTTTCGGCAGGAAAAATGTTTTCGAAAGCTAGGAAGCTGAAATTTAACAAGAATGTTTCCTTCCCACGTGCAACCCCGTCGCAGGCGGACCCAGGGCGGACTCTTGGGAGAGGAGGGAGCCCCTCCCACCTTAAAACTGTGCAAAAACTAGGAATAGAGATATAACACTGCTATTTAGAGTTACACTGCTGCTATTTAGAGTTAAACTAAAGTTTTATGAACATACTCGGGCTTTTGCAGCACTGTTGCCTCTGCCGCTAGGATGAGGAGCGAGGAGGAGGGGGAGGCCGTTCCTCTCTCCACCTCCTGGATTCGCCTATGAACCCTGTA